GCACTCTTATAATTTTAAAAAAAAAATCTCCGCGGTGTGCGGACAATTTTTTTTTTTTAACTATTGGTGTTTTTTAATACAAGTCTTCCTTTTTTTTTTTTTTCAAATTGACTCTTATTTTTCTTGTTTAAAATCTACTCCGCGTTGTGTTGAGTATTCGCTCTGCACAGCGCAGAGTGGTACTCCGGAGTTACACTCCGCACATGGTGCAAAGGGAAAACTCTGCGCTGCACAGAGGTGTACTCTGCCCACTTCACGGCGTGTGACTCCAAGCTGCGTTTTGCTAAAAAAAGACTTATATTTTTTAAATTACTGATATATTTCTTATTTTTTTGATAAAAAATGAATATTTCATTATTCTACTTAATTAAATTTAGGCGATAATATTTGCTTATATTTTACACAAACTTAATACAATTTCACTTATTAATAATTTGTTATGTACTATTTGTATTTATATTAAAATATGTTGAAATTTAAGTTAGATTTACTTATAAATTAATTATATTTCTTCAACTTAATTATATTTCTTCAACACATAAATGAAAATTAAATTTTCCGTCGGGAGCATTGTCCATTAAAAGGATAGAATTTGTTACAATTTGGGATATAATTTATTTCCATTGTAAAAAAAAAAAGCTACTTAGAAAACCAATTCCCACCAAAGTGGTGGGAAATGATTTACCTCAAAAAGCAAGAAAATGTGACAAACCAAAAAAATGCAGAAAATCAATTACCTGGAAAATGTTTTATATCAAACACTCTAAAAAGTGAAAAATAGCAAAAACTTGCCCTATAAACATGGCCTAATATATTTGGATAAAAGTACTCATTAAACTTAACTATTTAGAGTGTGTTTGATGCACATTAAAATAGAAAAAATGCAATTTTTTTTTTATATATAATGGTGAATATATTGTGTTGCTAAAACAAAACCCCCCAAACAAGCAATGCAACAGGATAGAAAGTTGATAACCGGAATTTGCTGTATTTGAAGAAAATAAAAACCCTATTCCAGAAACATCTACCCAAATCTTACAGAATAAGGAGACCCGTATAAACAGCATATACATCCAGATTCTTGTGTATACTTTCTTTGCTTCGGCTGCAATAATGGAAAATCAAGGTAAAGAAGATTATTGTGATATTGGAAGCGAGGATTTTCCGGATGAGTTTCTGTGTTGTGTATGCCTGTAAGTATTTCTGATGTTTGTTTTATTCTATTTTACAATCAAATTATGTATATGAATGATTTTCTGTCGGTTTGTTTGTTATCAATTGAATTTTATGGGTAACTAGAAGGATACGGCAATAGGGTCCGTCCGTCTTTGTCTGTAGAATTGTAGATGCGTGAGCAAACACACGCCAAGAATCGGAATTCACAGCATGCCAGTTATTAATGAGATTTTCTGTTAAACATAGGGTTTTTTTATTTTTTATTTTGAAGGAAAACCCCTGAATTTTAATCAATTTGAACTTTGAAGAGTAGTTTGGACTTTACTTAAGTCTTAGCTGATTTTAATGCTCTCTGTAGTCTATGATTGGCCTCTTGAAAACAATTACTTTGTTGATTATGCAGGGATATCGTGTACAAACCAGTTGTATTAGGTAAACACTGTTGCAAATACTACCGATTCCGTAGCTATTTTGTTGTTGAAACTATTCATTGTTTTCCTCTGTATGCAGCATGTGGTCACATATTGTGCTTCTGGTGTGTTTTCAAAGCTATGGATTCTTTCCAGGAGTCACACTGTCCAGTTTGTCGCAACCAGTATAATCATTTTCCCAGTATCTGTAGATTGCTACACTTCTTGCTTCTGAAATTATATCCTTCCTACAAAAGAAGGGAAAGACAAGTTGCAGGTATGTGAGCTGAAATTTTATGAATTTACCCATACCATGATTATCTATATTTTGGAGCTCCAGGCGGTAGTCCTAATGCAGTAACCAACCATATTGCATCCACTATAAGAGTAGCATGCACCAGATCAATTTTTCAGTAGGAGCAGGCACTCCATTAGTTATCCCGTTTACTATATATTCGTTCTTAATTTCCCATCTTAATGTGAGGTA